GGATACATTTCAAGCCACACTAGTATAATTGATTGGAGGGAGAAAATGGAGAAAGAGTTCTGCTCCTTCTACTTTCTTTCTCCTCTCACAAAGGAAGTGGATATTAAGGATGTTTGAAAAGTTAGTGTTTAGTTCCCTGTTAAAAAGACAGGGAGAAGTCCAAAGTCAATAATCTTTATAAATCAATTCACACCACAAACTGCAGGATTCATAAGAAAAATAGAAACTCATGGAATCCTAGTTTAATTTTCTTGCTTACATTTACACAGTAAGTGGTAGGACTAGATCTAGAAGCCCAAAATGCTTGGATCCAAAGTTAAAGGTCTTTCTACCATAGCATGAAGCTTTTTATTATCTTTGAACTGGAGACAATCCCCCTGCCCTCAATCCACAGGAAAACTATTAAAGTGGGTGAAGCTGCAGGCCCTCCTAGAATCAGCAGCTGAACTTCTGAATCAGCCTAACCTTTTGCCAAACCACAGCTCTGAAACTAAGGAAAGAGAAGAAAGGTAGATGAAATACAAGCCTCTTTCTGGTAGGACAGTGTAGCGTATGGGAACATACTTGGATTTGGAATAAAAGGTCTGTATTGTATGTCAATTGTAATAAAAAAAAAGTTATTTAAAAAAAAGATCTGGATTTGAATCCTGACTGGGCCATCATGTGAGTCAGCTGAGGTTATTACTGGAACTCTGAGTGTAAGATGAAGAATCAAGGATCATGTGACCTAACTTACCTTCTGTGCAGGCTGTTGTGAGAATTCAAATATACATATATTAAACTTGAGCATAGTTCAACTATTTGGCATGTGAGTCAATAACCACTTAGGATAATGGCCAGCATGAGGTAAATGCTCAATAAATGTTAGTTTTATTTAATATTCCAATATGGTTCTCAGTCTCCATTCTCAAACCATCCCTTTAACTCTATTTCTTTTTTTCCTCTTCTCTACTATTCTGTAGCTCCTTTCTCTATGAAGTATTTATAAAAAGGGAATAAGATTTTAGATCTTCAAGAGATCTTCTCTGATTTAGGTCCCAGATAATGCAGTTTTCCACCCAGGTAATATATTGGCTCATGGTGTCTGGGGACAGTTACTTAAAGGAGTATTCATTGAGGAAGTTAGGTTTCAAAAAGTCTCCAGAATGCACACACACACACCAAAAACTCTATTAAGGTTAAGAAAAGATCTTTTATTTTCAGAGAATTAAATTAACCAGTAAAATTTATTTGCAGGAGTCAACTATTTCTTGTAATATACCAATGGTATTTAAAATCAGTGCTCTCTGCAAACAAAATGAATTATTGTTTATAATAAAGTACTTACAATTTCAAATAAAAATTTTCCTGAAATCTTGAGGTGAAAGTAGCTTGAGTATTTTCTTCCACTGATATATATTTAAAGGCATTATCAAGACCAAATTCACGTAGCAATTTACAATCAAGGCTGATTAAACTATACAACTATATTTTAATTGATACTTTGTAAAGTTTCTTTGGAATATTTACCCATCACTTTTCTATCTTCTATGTATTAATGTCTGTTTTTATACATTGTGAAGGGACAGAGTATTCACAGTAGGTAGCTCAAAGTGATGGTTCTGCAGTGGTGACAACAGTGAATTTTAAGTCTAATCACTCTGTTTCCAGAACTTTAGCTTTATATGATCTGTTGTGAATTTCTCAATATGTGATATGAGGGACCCAGCATTACCATAAAAGCTTATCTCTGATTTAACAAATGTTTCAAAGCCCCGTGGAAAACATCCTGTCTTCCAATCTATTGTTATGCAAAGTTTAGAAAAGGCCAACACCTTTGACTGTGTTATTAACTCCTATATATACCTATGGGTCATCTGAATAGTCCCTATGATCCCCAGTTTTTATGGCATAAAGTGCACTCCAGAAAAATGTACAACACTGTTCCGCTAATTGCAGTCAATTTGACACACTTACATGGCAGCAAACTGGTATTCCAAAACACTCACCGATGTGCCACTGCACAAAAGGCCGAGGTGTTAGCAGTGGAGGCTGATTGATAAAGTTAATGCAGAGGTCCTGGATTATAGGGAACTGTTGTATAACAGCATCACATACTGCAATATTGTGTGAATCCTTGCTATAAAGGAACCATATTTGCAAACCAGTGGACAGCAGCCACAGGAGCAGCAGCGGGAAAGATGTTTTAGACACGAATAGTTGGATGGTGCTCCTCATTTGTATTCGTCTATAGAAGCCCATACAATCTTATCATAGGCAGTTAGCAGGTCTGAGATTCTGTCCTAAAAACTCACCCACTCGCACTTAAAGTCCCTCACTCTCCGCCATCCCTGAAACAGCCAATGACGGAGCATGATGGCCACTACTTGCACTGTGCCTTCCCCTTCCTATCCGGACCCTGTCCAGCAGGAGCCCATGGTTTTCACTGGCTGCTGGAGGCCTCCATCCACCAGCTGTTTGCAGCAAACACCAAAGGGAACAGTAGCAAACCTGTAAATCCTGACCAGCAGAGAAGGTGCCCAGAACAAGTGGCAGGGGCTGCAACCAGTGAGGACAGACGGACTGACAACCAGACAGACAGACAGCACCATCAGACACCATCCACTACTTCCAGTCTCAGGAGAGGGGAAGCCTGCAGCACCAGGGACATCATTGTTCCCGGCAGGGACAGGCAGCAGGTTAACGAGGGTTGTGCCTCCCTCAAAGCAGCAGGCTTAAAGTATTTGGGGTTTAGTTTTTGGATGAGAAGGAGCAGGGAATTCAGAAACCTGCTGCTCTTGATAGAAGCAGGCCAGCTCTGGCCTTCCAAGTTAATGGCCCTTTTCTGAGTCTACAATGGAAAGGGCAGGAATGACTGGATTTCTACACTTTTGCTGTGACACGGCACCCACAGCTCTCCCTCAATATTCCCCTCTCCCATCTGGGTAGCAGTCACACTGGCGGGGGCCCATCCGCCTAGGAACACAGCCTCCCTCCATCCCTGTCCTGTGAGCACTGCTGCACTGAGGGGAAGCGGAAGAAACCTTTGGTGGCAGCATCTTCTCTTCAGGAAGCAATCCTAGGGGGTGGGGAGAGCCATGTTGGGAGTGCTCCATGCCTGGCTTTCACCCCTCTTCCCTTCTGTGTCTGCCTCTTCTTTGCTGTCAGCTAACTCAAGATGCAACAGGTTCCCTTTGGCTCCTCATGCCAATCCTGTGCCCCCAGATACACTACTGACCCAACCAGGGAAACACCAAGCAATTAGTCCCAGGCAGGGTTTCTAAATCCCCGCACCCCTGAGTTGAAAACTTTCCTGAATACATGAAGACCTGCCAAGGGAAGACAGGGTTGAAGTCCCCTTCAGCTCCACTCTAGGTATGATGCTAAGGAGCAGCAAAACCGACTCTGGGTGCCAGGACCTTGTAAGCAGCACAGTGTCACACACTCCTACACCACCAGCTATGGGCCTGTCCCCTCCCCAGACACAGGGCACTGGACAGGGATCCCTTGAAGGGCTGATGGACTTTAAAGAAGGGGAGACGTATGCAAATTCCCAATCCCCTATTGTACTGCTTGCACCAGGAACTGAGCAGGCCCCGGAGGTCTCTTGGAAACCAGTAAAGAGGAACCTCTATTTTATTCACACCAGACTCCCCATCAGCTTCTCCCACTGCACTGCTGCACTGAGGGGAAGCAGAAGAAACCTTTGGTGGCAGCATCTTCTCTTCAGGAGGCAATCCTAGGGGGTGGGGAGAGCCATGTTGGTGTGCTCCATGCCTGGTTCTCACCCCTCTTCCCTTCTGTGTCTGCCTCTTTGCTGTCAGCTAACTGAAGATGCAACAGGTTCCCTTTGGCTCCTCATGCCAATCCTGTGCCCCCAGATACACTACTGACCCAACCAGGGAAACACCAAGCAATTAGTCCCAGGCAGGGTTTCTAAATCCCCGCACCCCTGAGTTGAAAACTTTCCTGAATACATGAAGACCTGTCAAGGGAAGGCAGGGTTGAAGTCCCCTTCAGCTCCACTCTAGGTATGATGCTAAGGAGCAGCAAAACCGACTCTGGGTGCCAGGACCTTGTAAGCAGCACAGTGTCACACACTCCTACACCACCAGCTATGGGCCTGTCCCCTCCCCAGACACAAGGCACTGGACAGGGATCCCTTGAAGGGCTGATGGACTTTAAAGAAGGGGAGACGTATGCAAATTCCCAATCCCCTATTGTACTGCTTGCACCAGGAACTGAGCAGGCCCCGGAGGTCTCTTGGAAACCAGTAAAGAGGAACCTCTATTTTATTCACACCAGACTCCCCATCAGCTTCTCCCACTATTACAAACTTTGCATTGTCAACGGCGTTACATAGATGTAAGAAAATGTGACTGCACACAGGTATTTTGTGTAAAAGACTGTGCATAAAAGGTTAAAGGGAGTCTGGGGAGGCAGGTTCCCAAAGATGGCAACTGCCCCCCAATAAAGACCCTGTTCTGTGATTTGAATGAGTCCCAAAATGAACACTAAAAATAAGCATTTTTCGTAGGTAAATACTGACACCCTTCAGTGGGGTAACCCCAGCCTGCTAAACAACTCCAAGAAGAGCAGAGGAGCTATTCTCAGCACCTCTTCTTCCCACCTCCCCTTCCTTCCACTCACCCCCTGCCCCCTAACCTGCTCCCAACCCAGGGCCCTTCCACTAGGGTGGGATCAGCTCTTCTCAGCTTCCTCACATCCCAGCCCCAGGGTGGTCGCGGTCCGCCCAACCCTCCTCTGCACCCCAGTCTCCAGCCACCCTCTCCCGGCTCCTGGGCTCTCGGCTCCGTGACATCCTCTCCTTCCTCCGGTCCCCCTAACCTCTTCCCTGCTCAAGCCCAGAGCCCCTGGCCCCAAGGAGGGCGCCTCCGCCCGCACCCCGCACCCTCGCCCAGCCCCCTCCCCCACACCCAGCCCAGAGGGTTGGGTGAGTGAGTGGTGAATGGACCGAGGGAGGCACGGAGGCTCGGGTGGCGCGGCTGGGGGTGGCTTACTTGAGCATGGCTTCTTCTTTTTCCTCCTCTTCCTTCTGCCGGTCCATCACTGCCATGATAATGTTCCTCTCCTCCTCGGTCAGGTGGCTCAGGTCGGGCAGCTCTTGCATGGGGGGAGGCACGGTGGGTGGGCGAGCAGGG